CACCGGGTGTGTGTGCGTGCATGCCCAAGATCCCGAGAGGAGAATGGAGGAGAAGGGACTGAGGCATGGCCATCCCTGGAATCTCACGTGGTCGACCACAGTTTGATGGGGGTGATTTCTCGCTTTCTGTCTCTCTGTCTCTCTCTGTCTGTCTGGCGAGCACACGTGTCCTGTAGCAAAAACCTCTCCAAAAAAAAAAAAAGTCTACAAAAAAATGCTGCAGGATCAGAACTATGTGTCTATTCCCAAAGCAGTAAACCTGGCTCAGAGAGAAAATGAGAGGCCAAGAACCCAACTACTTTCTTTTTCGCTCTGGCTGCCAGGAAGCTACGGTTATGTAACTAGAAGTTTAAAGGTGCGTTAGGAAAGGGGTATGAAAATATAGGCCACACATATATACACACACTAATGTAAAGCATATTAATCAAAGTGTGATGAAATACTATACTGTCAAAAATATAGGAACAGAAGAAGTGCAACAGGTAATATTAACTCAAATATTAATTTTATGGATTTTGTGTTAGTGTGGTATTTACCAGCTCTTTTTTTTTTTTTTTTAAAGCGTATTTATTTCTTTTGGGGGAGTGCCCATGTCTTTTTTCAAATTTTATTAATTCACTAAAGATCTTAATTAATTTAAAGACTTTCAATAGCAAGCACATCTGATATTACGTATTTATGAACACATGTCTTACTTTAGGCATAAACCCCAGTGAGTAAAGTGAACGTGCTACAAAGAAACACCTCGCTGGGGCTACACAGCTTACTGCAGTCATTAAATAGGTATTAATAGGTATCTTTTAATGCATTTTAATTTCACAAATACGATTTAGTTCTAATAGATCAAAGTCAAAAAATGTTCAGAGAAAGTTACTTAAAACTTAAAGCCAGGAAAAAGGCTAGGATTCAGTTCAAATAGTAGGTAGATGAACCTACCAACAGTTCAAGACAAAAAATCCTTAAATATGAAAATCAAAGCATCGAAGAAAATTAGTAATGTTTTAGTCTAAAGTCAAAAAAATTCTATTTCCCTAATTAATCTCTCTTCTATTGAATTTGCAGCGTTACTATGGTCTGATCTTTCCATTTAAACTCCGGAAGTTAACGTTCAGCTCCGGACTTGGCTCTACCATTAGACTGGCCACTCTCTTGGCTGTTTCTTGTACTCTTAGTTCTGTGTGTCTGACTTTAGTTTTCCCGGTATAGCACTCCTTTCAGAGCTGGTCTGGTGTTGGTAAATTCTTCTGGGTTTGGTTTATCTGAGAATATTTTTGTCTTTTTTTTTTTTCCTATATGGAAGATAATCTTGCTGGGTATAGTATTCTTGGTTGAAATTGTTTTTCACTTAACACTTTGAATATATTTTCCCTTTCTTTCCTTGCTTGCATTGTTTCCGATAAGAGGTCCAACGTTACCGTTTGGGACATCCTTTAAAAGTAACTTGAAGTTTCCCTCTTGCTGACTTTAGAATCTTGTCTCTGTGGCTTTGGTCAATCTTGCCGTGATGTGCTTGGGAAAGATCTTCTTGGGCTGATTCTATGTGGGGTCCTTTGTGTTTCTTGGGTCTGGGTCTTTGAATGCCTCTCTAGGTTTGGAGAGTTTTCTTCCAGGATTTCATGGAACAGATGATCAATATCCTTATTAGTTTCTTCACCTTCTGGGATACCGATGATCCGGATGTTTGGGTATTTGATAGTATCTAGTATTACTTGTATGTTATTCTCATCTTTTTTTTTTTTCCCCCTCAGTCTTCTTAGTGAATTTTTCTAGGTCAGAGGTTCTATCTTCTACATCTGAGATTTGATCTTCTGCCTGATCTAATCTGCTTTTGATACTTTCAGCAGAAGTTTGATTTCCTGTCATACGGCCTTCATCTCTAACAATTCCATTTGGTTCTTTTTTATGATATGTATCTCCTCTTTCAGATCGTGCAAGAACTTCCTCACCTCCTGGAACTCCGTGTCTATTTTTTCCTGCATCTTTTGTCACCTCTATTCTCTTGCATCTCTGTTAACTTTGTCACTATGAGTAATTTAAATTTCCATGAGTTCCCTTGTATTCTCTGGCTCCTGGCTAGACCGGGGAGCAGGAGGATGAAGTCTGGGCAGAGGGTCTTTGGTGGTCGAAATCCCGCACCCCGAATCTTCATCCATGCCTGTGATGTAGGCCAACTGGGACTTTCCTCTCTCTCTGCAAAGAGGAAAATAAACTTTTTTTAAAAATCTGTAATTAGAGATATGTTGAAGTTATTATTTTATTAAATTTAAAAAAAATTGCCAGTATGTCCAGTATTTTGTTACTTGAAGGTAAGTCTAAGAAAGAAAACCATAGGAATGTATTCTGGAACACATTCCAGAAATTGCAAAAAAAAGAAAAAGAAAAAGAAAAAGAAAAACGAATGGCTGTAATAGCCAAAAACCAAATTTTTGGCAAGCCAGAGTTTTCCATTTTTTCGCTTGCGACAAAACTGAAAGAGAATCTAATTTGTCAGAAAAGGACTCTCAAAAATAAGTTCTGATGGGCCCAGCAGGTGGCATGGTGGTTAAGGCACTAGATCCCACATGGCTGACTCCAAGTTTGCGTCCAGGACTCAGTGGCTTGAAACTCTTCCTTGGAAAAGTGGTATTTCAGAAGGACCAAGCTTTTCAGAGACTCCAGTTGTGTGGAGGCAATGCAGACCCCCAAAATAGTCTCCTTTTTCCGCCTTCTCCCACCTCCCTAACACACACACACATGGCCAGGCACAGGGCGTATTCCGAATTTTGGGAAAAGGGCATTTCATATCATGGCTCCTGCAGTCTTCATGGCCTGAAGCTGCAAGGCCCTTGGTGCCTGGGGGCTGGGTTCCTCAGAAGCTAGAAGTCCCCAGCTCCTCCCTCCAACCCTATGGGAAGGGCAGAGGATTCCAATTGAGGGCTGAGCTGCATCCCAGAGGGGATCTACTTACACATCCCATCTCCACACTGGGTCAAGAGACAAATTCTTCACAAAGGTACCTAAAAGAACTTGAGGGCACTGGTTGAAGTGTGGCTGGATGTAAGGTTGGTTAGCTTCCAAATCCTCAGCCTTAGAAATAAAGTAACAGGATTCAGCTCTCAGGACTTCAGTGGGTCCAAACTTGGTAGGCATTTAGGCCACACACACACACACACACACACACACACACACACACACACGGGTGAGGATGGTGGGCAGGGATTGGGGTTCTGTTTGTTTCAGATGCCAGGAACCACCCACCCTACCCCCCCCATACACACACACACACACACACACACACACAGGCAGGCAACACCCCAACAATCTTACCTTGCACTCCAGGTTTCCAAAGTGGGAGAACAATGACACACTTCTCTGACTAGACTCTGAGATGTCACATCTGGACAGATTTCAGCAGCTGCACCTCACTTTGACAAGCAGCAGCTCGTTTGTTTTGCCTCCAAGAACCCTGGGGATTAAGGTGCTGTCACCTCTGGGTTTACAAATGAGGCAACAGTGTGACAGTGAGAACCCTGACCCCAGCCACACATCCAGAAAGATAAAGCCAGGCTCTTTCAGTATGGACGGTTATCATTCCCATTGCAGAGATGAGGCCGGAGGCCAGTGAGACTGTCCCTTGCCCAAGGCACACAGCTGTCAGAGGTAGAGCTAACAAACTGAGGGAATTGGCAACAAATTGAGATCAAGTCTCCCAGCAGCTGACGTAGAGGGGAAGCCTGGGGATGGAGCAAAGACCGTGGAAAGTGACCATCATCCATGTGTCAGACTATTGAATGGAAGGGTGTGGGCTGGCCCCACAGTACAACGGTTAAGCACTGAACACAGGAAGCCAGATCCCCCAGGGCTGACAGGATTAAATCCCAGCCCCAGGGGCTTGAAAAATACATGTGTACATGCCCAGGATCCTGATAAGATGGAGAAATGCAAGAAAAAGGGGTTGTAGTGGGAACAGGCCCCAATGGGAGGGTGAGTGTGCTCTCTCTCCTGCATACATACCCACCCCATGGCATTAAAACACAGCACGTAGTGTAGTAGTTACGTCACTAGACTGCCACACGGCCGGCCATGGTTCGAATCCCGGACTGGGGGGCTTGAATTCACGCCGGGCCTGTGTGCGTGTGCCCGGAGTTCCGAGAGAAGAATGGAGAAGGGAATGCAGTGTGGCCCTCCCCCCTGGGTTGTGACTTCTCACTTCTGTTTCTCTGGCGAGCGCACACACCCTATAGCAAAAATTTCTCTAAAAATAAATATAAATAAAAGACAGTGGAAGAATGTAACGGGCAAAAATGGGAGAGGAATTCCACAGGGCTTAGCTATAAAAAAAAGATAAAATTTTTCTTTATCTGGTCATGACTTCCTTTACAGATTTTTCCCTTTTTTATTCTGCATGTAGTGTGTGTGTGTGTGTGTGTGTGTGTGTAAAACAGAAACAAGATGACAATTCAAAAAGGAATCTTTTAATAAAAATTATTCATAAAAATCCTAATAAATTTCAAAGAGCAAGATATTCCTAGTACATTTATAAAAGAACATTTGGTTGTTTTACAAAAAGCTCCCTTTTAATTTAAATACATTTCTTATTTACAGATTAAACATAAAATATCATCTATAGTTGCAAAGCATAATGCACATTTACCAAGAGAGAAGCATTTGTGTATTTCAATACATTTTCTCGAGTTTCCCACTCTAGATTTTTTTGTACAGATTTATTTTTCTTGTGCATAATAAATAAAAATGCAGCTTGTGTTTTGCTATTTAGAACTAAAACAAAATATCTCTTAAAAATATTTTTCCTCTGCCTCTCGGAAAGAGGGAAGGGCATTCCACAGGTACTCGACATTTTCACACCTAGATTCAAGCGGAGCGTCACCCTGAGCCCTGCAAGACCTGGGCTGTGTGGCCCCGCCCCGCCACCTTCTCACTCTCACAGGAATCCCCGCCCTGCAGGGAAGAGGCACTAGAGTAGGAGCTGGCTGTCTGAGAATGCAGAAGGAAAGACAGACTTTTCTTCTGAGGTCCCTGCTCAGCCACTCTGCGGCCCAGGCAGTGATGCAGCCCTACTTAACCAGAACAAAATCTGAATGTGTCAAGAGAAAGCCCTCTGGAGCCCTCCAGAAAGGGGAGAAGGAATGTCTGATATTGAGTCTACAAAACCCGAAGAGAAGAATCACAGTTGGCAATCATTCAGTAAACTGAGCTAAGAAACAGTTCAGAAGGATGCTTTTCTTTGGTGAGGGAGGGGGGACACAGGGAGGGGGTCAAGGCCCTCAGACTGCAGCCTGCCCTTAACACACCAAGTAACCACAACTCCCTCATCCTCATCTGCACTGACGCCATCCTGGAATGTGTTTGTTTAAATATATCCTGCACTGTCCACACTCCAGGACCTCATCACACCCGGGGTCTTAGTTACCTGGAGCCAACTCCGCAGAAGGGCTGGAAGAACACTGGAGGGAAGGTTTGAAAACAGACGCTGCTTTTTCACAAAGGCCAACACGATCACTTGCTTTGTCATCCACTCTTGTAGGAGAAGGGAGTTCCTCAGACACCTCGTCGACAGTAGCTAAGCCTGCCCCATAATGATTCGGGACTTTGTTCTGGGAGGAGAATCCTCCACACCTGGCTATGAGGCAGTTTTCTAGAGTTTTGTAAAACCGTGATCGTCCCGCTGACCAGGGCTGGCCCTGGACACTAGCTACCTGTGGGGACATGAGGGTGGTCCAGGCTCATGGCTGTTTCTAAAGAAATGTCCATTCAGTTTCAAGGCCTTCCTGAGGCAAGCCCTGAGAAAGAAAGTTCCTCTGCCCTTCCGTTCCTCACCTCCCCTACCCAGTGTTTCAGAACACGAAGAGAAGGATCAGCAGAAGGATGCGTCGCAGTTGCTGACACCCGGATTTTCAGACAGAAGCCAAGTAAGCTTTGAACTCAGCTTCAAAAACCTTCTTTTTATGATGGGCCCTGGACAGCCTTCTGGCACCCAGCCCCACAAACCACTGCTTACGTAGCATCCAAGTTAGGCTGGCTGGTCTGGAAGTTCAGGAACCAGGCAACATGCACTACCTCATTCACCCTCAGTCCTGCCACTGGCATGAGTCCAGTGCCCAGAAGTGAAGAGGGTTTGAGACTTACTACAAAAAATGGTTCACGCCCGCCCGTGGCGCGTAAGATGCATCTGTGACACGCAAGGCACGACGGTGCTGCCAGGCACGGGTCCATATTTCAAGAGAACCAAGAGGAAGAAATGCTGATCTTGCTGGAGAGTTCAGGGGGAGAGCCCGGATGAGAAGGGCAACGCTGCAGGGGAATGTTGAGGTGCTTACACGTCACGTGGCCGCAGAAGCTGGGGGGAGCCAGGAGGAGCCTGCAGAGAACACTGAGGCAAAAACTCACTTCCTTCCCTGAGGCACCCCATCCTCTCAAGTGGGTCATTAATAGTCCCACCTGGATCTGCCCAGAGAAAGGGCGCAGGTACACACGTGTGTGCACGTGCGTGTTTAACGTATTCGCTGAGCCGATGAAATGAACACATTTAAAACATACAGTAGTCTCAAAAATTTTCTATTCGGCAAATGAGATACTGTTGATAAACTGAATAATGCTCTGAAATAAACAAAAAAAAAGGCAAAATAGAAGTATTTGTTTTGTTCTTTTACTTTAAAACAATTTGCATAGTAAATATTTAAAAGATAGAGGTGACACATTTATCAGTGGAAATATCCTTTTTAAAAATCTCAAAGAACTGAATTCTGTATCTATTTCATAAATAGGAACATGTAAATTCCCAAGAAGGAATCAGTTTTCCCTTTTGAGTAATAATGTGATGGCTTGCACAACACCTATTTCTAACTTTTAAAAGACTAAAATGAAATCACTCTGAGTATGCAAAGAGTCAAGAGGGGAGAAACACGACGCGTGAGGTTGGAGAGACTAAGCGGTTGCCCTCCCGTTCTCCTGGGAGGCAGCCCAGAAGCCAGAGCGGGGCAAGCCCAGCGCAGCTTCATAAGAGCACTTGGCGGACGTTCAAGGAGCGGTGCTTCTGTTCTGGCTAAGGAAACTGGCAGGAAGAAGAAGCTGTTTCGGTGTGACCGCCTCCTTCTGTAGGCTTGCTTACAGTGACAGGTTGAAAGGCGATTCACAGAATCTACCTGATGCCCACAGCCTCCCTGCTCACTCTGGCCCCACACACGGCATTGCCCAGGAGCCCGCCGAAAGCACACAGCAGCTGGTCGCCGGGGGGCCGGACCTCTCCCACACAGGCACTAACCCAATGCCGATGCTACGCAGAGAAGTGGCTCAAGGACACCCTGGCCGTCTCCCCGATTCAGCTAATTGGCACTCGACACAGAACGAAAAGAAGGCTCTACCCCCAATGCAGTTGGAACTGAGAAGCCTAGGAGACCCCAGAGAGTCAGAAGCTCAGACAAACGTAGGTATTTTTCTCTCCCGAAAAGGCACCTGGTTCTGGACCTGTGGCTCCTCAGGTACATTCATGTTCAAAGTAGATACAAAACTCCACCTGAGACACCTGTCGCTTAGCCTCCATACCAGGACAGCCCAGGAGACTGCTGCCGGAATTCTGCTAAGGCCCTTATTCTTAAACGAATGAAGTGTAACACTGTCAAGATGACCTCGGCTAGGAAGAAATAACCGGATTCCCCCATGTGATCCAAAATCGTAGGCGGGTGTCTGGGGGAGAGCCCAGTGATCCAATGAGAGAGGGAGGATGACATTTTCTGCGTAGTAAGCAGGGTGGCGACTTATCACTTACACTCTGGCTCTTGTACAGAGTTCCTCCTGGCCCTCTAATAAAGAGGTAGCAAATTACTGCAGTTTGGTGAGGGGGCCTGGATTCTGACGGAGGAAGCCATGAAGAGCAAGCCAAAGATGCCCCGTCGTTTAGCTGAGCGGCAGGAGCAGGGCTGAAGCAGCCCCTTTCCAGGTACTTTCTCATTTCAAACCATATCCTGAAGAACAACGGGGCATTTTATTAACAGAGGAGAAACAGAGTGTGCAAGAATTCACCCGATGTGGGTGAGGAGCCGGACAGAAACTCCTACAGCACAGCAGACGGCCAGGCTTCCACCTCGTGCATGTCAGACTGCACACGGGCATGGCCTGGGGTCGGCTGCGTAGGCCTGGTGTACGAGAGCCCGCAGGAGGAGAGCAGGTCAGATCAGGCCGACCATCTGGTCGATCTGCCGCATGTAGATGCTCTTTAAGGGCAGGGAGTACCTCCTCTCGTCAGGAACACGATTGCACTGCAGAGAAAAAATGAGGGAAAGTGTGTCACCTCAGGAAACGTGGTAAGATTTCTCAGATGGGGCACTCAGCTCTGCTGGGGACTGTCCTGTGCGCTGTAGGTGGTTAGCAGCTTCCCTGGACTCTCCACGGACCAGGTCCTACCCCTCAGTCTCCAGACATTGTCCGAAGTCCCTTAAGGAGCAAAATCACCCCCAGGTAAACACCACTGATGCAATGTAATATCCTCACTTTACAGGTAAGGAAATGAAGACCCGGAGAGCTGAAAGGCAGCCACAGCAAGTGCCCAGCAGCCAGGAACACAAGCTGCACCCCTTGGCTACTTAATCCACCCAGAAATCTAAATACTTACAAGTGCTATTTTTTTCCCTTTTTGTGGGAGGAGGGGGAGAGATTTTTGCTATAGAGCATGTGCACTCACCAGAGAGACAGAGAAAGAGAAAGGGAGAAATTACTCCCTGGGGGGGATGGCCACACTGCAATCCTTTCTCCTCTATTCTCCTCTCCGGGTTTTGGGCATACACACACATGCACCTGGCGTGAGTTTCAAGACACCAGGTCTGAGACTCGAACCATACCTGGCCATGTGGAAGTCCAGTCCCTTTACCAGTATGCCACCTGCTGGCCCCACTAACTATTTTTCTGGAAGACGTTTTACCCCTCTGAAAGGTGACAGTCTTGAGAACCAACCATTCAAGTCAATCCTGGAAACCGCTGTCCACATAAACCAGAACAGGCTTCTTCCGGCCAAGAAACACTTCCCCAGCTCTCTGCGCCGAAGGCGGAGCGAGTCACTCCACAACCCTGCACGAGCAGGACCGGCAGCCCCTCAACCTGGCCCCTACTGCTCCCCACCCCACCTTTGCACTTCAGGGGTGCTGCTCCTTTCACCCGTACACCCTCTCCTGGGAAGCTCCTCCTCATCCTTCAAGGATCCACTCACAAGTCACTGCCTCAGTGAAGCCCCCCTTGATCTGCTCTGGCAGGTAGCTCCCTCACCCCTCTGTTGGCCCTTCTGGCAATCGCCCAGAAGCTGGTCTGCCCACTGGGCCATAAGCCTATTCAGCATTGGGACTCCCTCAGGTAGGTCTGCACCCTCAGTGCCTGGACTGACAGGACCAGGTCTATCAGTGAGTTGGCAGGTCGGAGGGGGGTCCCTTTACTACAGTCCTGCCCTGGCACAGAGACCCAAACCTCCCTGGGCCTCCCTTTCTCCACATGTAAGCGAGGATACTAAAAGCACCTACCACACTGGGGTGGCCCTGTAGCCTAGTGGTTAAGGGAACCAGACCCCACATGGCCGACTGTATGGTTTGAATCCCAACCCCAATGGCTTGAAAGACATGCCAGGCATGCATGCCCCAAATCCTGACAGGATGGGGAAACACAGAGGGGACTGCACTGACTATACCCCATCAGGATAGGGGATGCTTTCTCCCCCTCTCTCCCTTGGGTGAGTGTGTGCACCTTCTGGCCATTAAAAAAGAAAAAAAAGAAAAGGTACCTGCCCATCCCAGGGCTGCTGTGAGGAGTAAATATGGGAGCATTTAGACATGAGCTCTCGGAGCAGTGGAGCAGCAAGTGTCAGGTGAGCGCCAGCCACTATTAACCCTGCTCCCTGCCCTCCCCTTCACCAACACCCGCGGCCTATGGAAACACGGAGGATAAGCGTATGTGCACTCTGCAGGTCAGTTCAGCTTGTAGACTGACGATGCAGACCTTCATGGGGGCGTGAGAGGAAAAGTACTGATGGGGTCTGCAATGCAAGGGCACCCCCAAACCAAGGAGCTGTCTGACGGGAGGTGGCACAACTCTTGACAGCTGAGGCTCCTTCTGAGAAGTGACAGCCGACGCACTGTGGGATGCTAAGACTTGAGGTTTTTACCGATCCAGGGTCCACTTTCCTGTCCTCACTCACAACATCCCACACAACTACCTGGAACTTCCACTGGGGCTTCAGGCCTTTCATCAGGCAAGCTGAGCAAAGCCCTCCTTTAAACGAGGTGGATACGTGCTACACTCTGAAGAGCACCATCGTTAGAAGTCCTAATGACATTCCTGTTTTTCCCCTTCTGTGAGTAAGCGATCTGGCTGAATCCTGTTGGTTTGCCCCTCTGGATGCACTCGCCACCCTCTGCACCTGCTCTGGCCCCGCGGGCAGCCTGCTGGCTCCAGTGAAGGCGGCTGAGGAGCAGCCCCAGCAGGAGCGCGGAAGAAGGCAAGCTATGCTCTCCTGTGCCTGCCCACGACTCCCACCAGGCTCCCGTGGAGCCAGGAGTGGGCATGGTGCCTCTGCTCCTGGGGTTCCCCCACAATATTTACACCAAGGGTCCCTTTACGAAACTGTTTCCAAACTGCCCGATCTGAGGTGCCATCAATCCCATCAGGAACTGGGCTGGGCAAAGAATCGGGAGCATGCTCCTCACATGCAAGCCACCTGGGCAAAAGCCACTCACGTTGGAGCTAGAGTTGATGACTTTCAGCTCCTGAGATCTGGGCCTGTGCATAGGCTTTCCCTCTTGGTCCGGCCCTCCCTCTTCGGAGAAGAACTCCTTCCAGGGTGACTCCCGAAGATGCTCATCCACCGAGACAATGTGTCCCTCTGTTGTAAACATGTATCTGGTTCCAGATTTGTGCACTGGGTTCTCCTCATCAAAGAGCTGGAGAAAAAGAACAAAGATACAACTGGTAACTGCAGCACGTGAGGAAGGGACTCAGCCTCTCCCAGATGCTCAGAGAAGCACATGGGCCCTGGTGCGCTGCAGGGACAGATGACTAAAACCAAGGTCCAACCCTGGCTCAGGGCAGAGTTCATGTTTCGTTTAAACTCAGATGCCTGCACCTGCCCCCATCACGCACACCCTGCCCCAACCTGGAGATCCAGAAACCAGACTAAGACCCAAGCACCAGCACCTACAACAAAGCCCCCGATGGTCTCCGTTTGCTGCCCTAAGGGCGCCTGTGCTGGGACTCTAGGACGAGCCCGCCTCACACACAGACCCTCGCTGTAACAGCACATGGCGGCTGTATCACGGCACTCTCAGGCGGGCTCCCAGGTCCCAGAGCCCGACACGTCCACCAGTGTTCCCTTCTCGTGTCAGAACACGGGCCAGGCCCTGAGGACACGGTGCCACACGGGGCATGGTCCTTTCTTTCCACAGCAGACACAGCAAGGGTGAAGAGAGGGGTCAACATTCAAACAGAAGCCAATGGGGGACAAGTTGGGGGAGAGAAATTCCTAGAGTTAGGAGAAACCTTCTGGGTCGCCTAAACTAGTTCACAGATGAAAAGGAGACTCAGTGCAGCCAATAGGAGAAGAATGGGGCAGGACCCAGGTTTTCTGTCCCCAGACTCTGAGTTCCCTCCCCAGCACACTCCATGGAGTGTCTGTCCTTCCTTTACCCCAGAGCCCACCCTGCAAACCCTACTCCGATGACTGTGGTCGGAGACAGGCCAGGCTCTGGTCAGCCAGCTTCAACTGACCCCACGCCACTGCACAGAGAGTGCGAACCCCACACCACAGGCTCGGGCACGGGACAGCTGTCTGCCCACGGCTGGACCACATGGCTGCCATGGCCACACTTCCTCTGCAGACTTTTGTTAATCGTGACACAAGACAGGAGAGCCATCTTAAGGGATTAGACCAGTAGCTCTAAATCCTGGCTTTGTACAGATTCACTGGAGGCACTTGTCGAAATTACACAGCCTGCGTCCACTCCTTCTAAAGGCTCTGAGTCGGCGCGGCTATAATCCTACCACGGGCCCGGGGTGATTCTAGCCCGCTGGCGCCAGCCGGGCCTGGGAACACGGAACTGGGCAGCATACGCTCCTGCTGCTGTGCCCTCTGAATCTCAGCCCAGGATCTTGGTGGCCATGCTACTCCCCGACAGGAAGTCCCGTCCCTCAGTGCCTGCAGGAGCATTCCTCCAGAAGTGGTCGTACAGACTGAAGGGCCGAAGAGGGCAGGAGAGGGGCCACGTACACAGAAGCACAGGCACCACACACGCTCAAGGCAGAGCAGTGACGTGGGAGGAGTTAAGTGGGTTAGGGGTCGCGATCACGGTTCAGGCCCTGCTCTGCCACGTGGTCTGGCAAATCACCAGGCCTCCATGTGGTACGGAACTCAAGAGTCTAGGGACAGAAAACCCAGGCCTGCCCCATTCTCCTCCCATTGGCTGCACTGCGTCTCCTTTTCATCTGTGAACTAGGTTAGGTGACCCAGAAGGTTCTTTCTCTAGGACTTCCTATTATTCATTCAGTATGAACTGAGCACCAGCTCGCCCCCTGGTGGGTTCTGTCTGAATGCCTTGTATGTACCACAGAGACAACCGAGCAGCGGGTCTCGGCCAGGACCACACATCAAGAGAGGTGAGAAACAGCTAGAACACCACGATCCTCTTCGGACAGCTTCCCCGTCCTCTGCACAGGCAGCGACTGACACCCACACTTAGCACGACTGGTAACCGTAAGCTGACGCCTTCTTACCTGGCCAGTGACTCTTCTATAAGCGGAAAACCACAAAGAGAGATGCTTGTCCCGGGGCACACACGCTGTCCTGCTCAGAGCAGGGCCCAGGGAATGCCTGTCAGATCCAAGACTGCACGGACGCTGGCTCTAAGCAGCACCCGAGACCCCTAGGCAGGGTCGCGGCACACCTACCAGATACAAGTATTTGCAGGTCTCGCTGAGGAAGAAGCTCTCCATGCGGTCCTCTTTGGACTTGTCTATGACGTGATGCAGCGTGGCGTACCCGCACCTACGAAACAGGCGTCCAGTCAGTCCTCCCTCTGCCGCTTCACTCACGAGGCAGACGTGACTAACAATCATCAACCAAGTTATCCGCCACTATATCAGAAATACGCTGTTATGTGGCAGTGCTACCCGCCTGGACTTCTGCAGATTTACTGAATAAGTGCTCTGGATGCTACATTATCAGATGAGTTGCAGGCTGGGGGCCGGCAGAGTGGAGGATATTTGCCAAATGCATCAGTGGCACCAAGGATGATGGCATCACATTTAGGACCATTTAAATTTCTAGTCCCGCTGTTTATAGAATTGGCTTGGTAATTTGAGTATCTTAATACTCTGGGGACCAGCAGATGGCATGATGGCTATGTCCCGGACCCAGGAGCATAAACTCATGCCAGGCGTGTGTGCGTGTGTGCCTAAGATCCCCAGAGGACAATGGAGGAGAAGGGATTGCAGTGTGGC